CAAGACGTTTCTCCCAATCTGATCAAAGAACACAGTGTTTATCATTCGATGGAAGGTGGCCGGGGCATTCTTAAGACCAAACGGCATGACCGTGTAACAGTATAACCCTTGATCAGTGACGAAGGCCGTCTTCTCCTGATCTTTCTTCCATAAAGGAATTTGATGGAAACCAGAGTAGGCGTCCATAAAGCTCATTAAAGCATGGCCGGCTGTTGAGTCGACCAGGTTATCAAATTTGGGCGGAGGGTAACTGTCTTTGGGGCACGCCTTGTTTAAGTCTGTGTAGTCTACACACATTCGCCAGGTGCCATTCGACTTTTTAACAAGCACCACATTTGTAACCCAGTCTGGGAAGTAACATTGCCGGATGAACCCTGCATCAAGTAATTTTTTAACTTCGGCGGCTGCCGCCTGACTTCTTTCTTCGCCATGGTTCCGCTTCTTCTGCCTTACCGGCTTCTTTTTCGGATCCATAGCCAGTTTATGTTCCGCCAGGTCAGGACTAATGCCTGGCATTTCGTGAACTTCGAATGCAAAGATGTCCTTGTATTATGTCAATAGTTTGTGAAAGTCGTCACCCAAGACCCTTAGAGCAGTCGTCCCAACTTTGACTGTTCTGTCAGGACGCGAGTCATCTAAGATCAGGTCCGTATGCTCACCAGCCGGCTGAGGGCGGAATTCACCCGACCGCTCCTCTGCCAATGATTGCTATTTTCTGTCTTTTCTTGTGGCCCCCGTCTGGGATGCCTTTCTCTTCTTGCCGCCTGCTTCATGTACAGGCGCACTCTCCTTGACATTGTAAAGGTCTATTTTTCCACCACTCGACCGAGCGGCCATAACAGTGGGCTTGACATCCAAGAGATAGCACTCTCGGGCCATCCTCTGATCTCCCCATAGGGACCCGACTATTCCATTATCCCTCTCAAACTTGAGCAACATAAGAGATGGGATTATAACAGCTTTGGAATTATTCAGGGTTGGTCGTCCCAGAATCATGTTATAGGCCGAGAGTTCTTCTACTACCAGGAACCGGACTACCATGTGTCGTCCTTCCCCTTTTTCACCCAGGCGGATGGGTAAATCCACTCGTCCAACTGGGTGGACAACTCCTCCTCCAAACCCTACTAAAGGGTGGGATGCCGAATGTATGTAATCAGTCTGATATTTTAGTTTCGACAGAAATTTTCTACTGATGAGATCTGAGGAGCTTCCGGTATCTATGAGGATTCGGCCAACTCTCGTGTTGGCCACTTTACATTCAATAACGATAGGGTCGTCATGCGGCCATTTTACCCCTCCTAGATCTTCTTCAGTGATGACAATCTCAGGAAATGAATATTTGGAGGGCCGTTCTTGGTGAACGGAATTTACATCTAGCCGTCTGATATTGTCTTTGTTGCCCCTAATAGTGGGGCCGCCTCCTGAGAAGCCGCCTGAAATGGTGTAGACGACTACATCATCTGTATCGGAGCTGACGGCCTGTTGATTCTTTTTGGCCGACTGCTTTTTCGAGGAAGTGTTCCCCGTAGATTTCTTGACATAAGTGTCAAGATCACCTTGCTCAGCCAGGCGGTCCAGATACCGCATGAGACTGATGCATTCATTGGTGTGATGACCAACATCTTCATGATAATCACACAATTTTTCCTGGTTCTGGTTGTTTGCAGAACCCTTCACATAAATTGGCTATCCTTGTTAAACACATACTTTGGGGAGTATGGTTTGAATTCTTTTTTCTTCTTCTGGGCCGGCTGTTTAGAGGAATCAGCCGCCCAGACCTCTTTTCTCTTCTCATCTTTGTTTGACGACTGTTTCTGTCGTCCTTCTCTTTTGTCGGACCTTTTCCCGTCTGACTGTTTTACCGTACTACAAAGATCAGTCGCCTGTATATAGGCTTCCGCTTCAATCAAGGCCTCTTGAAGAGTCGCCACCCTCTTTCGGACCAAATCAAATTTGAAGGTCGACCCGTCTTTGAGACCTCTGAAAAAGTCAGTATAGGCTACTTCATCCGGTAACCCTTGAATCTGTATTCTCATTAGGTTAAACCGCCTGATGTAAGAACGAAGCCTCTCCTTCTCGCCCTGCTGAATCGTTCCTAAATCAAGGGTCGTCTTCTTTGCAGGGATGTTCATGGCGTAGTTGGAGGTGAATAAGTAAGCAAGCGTCCTGAAGTTATTTACACAACCAGTCGGCAGGTTGCCGAACCATTGTTGTGCGATTCCTTTGAGATTTGCTGGGAAACACTTGCACCAAGTGGGATCATCCAACCCTTGAAGGTACATTAGGTTGGTGAATGCCATCAGATGGTCTTCTGGGTTAGTAGTGCCGTCATAGGCGCCTACTAATACATTTTTCACTTTGGCCGGCTGAGCGGCTTCAGTAATTTCCTTGGAGAAGGCCGACGGCTGTTTGCCAAGTATAAGCAACCGTAGCTGCCAGTCCATAGGTTGGACATTTTTTGCTGCATGCCCACCAAACGGAGGTGGCTGCAAAAAATACTGTTGTTGCGGTACAAACGGTAAGTTTGGTACCGCCTGGTCGCTATGAAAGCCGGACTGACGGGAGGTGCCGCCTGACTGACTCTCATGATACGACTGAGTATGCCTCATCGAGGTATTGCGCAGACTGTCTTGGAAGTTTGAAGTAGAGGTCGACTCTGACAATCGGTCACTCTTCTTCTGCTCTAGCAGTAGCCGAGCATCTGTGTATGTTTTCCTCGACCCGTCCGCCTGAGTATGACGAACAGGTTTCCTCTTTCCTGGGGTAGGAAAACGGTATTTTGTGAAATCAAGGGCAGGCGGCTCCCACTTCCTAGATTTAGGATGAGGGGTCGCCTCTCGCCCTTGAACTGGCTCCCTCTTTCGTGAAGTGGAGGGTTTCTTAGCCGATTGCTCCTTGTCCAGAGCAGGCGGCTTCTTGTTGATCAACTCTTGAATTTCTCCCTTGAAGTCCCTCATGAAGGTCATGAGTTCGTTCCTTGTGATGGGAGCAGACCCATCAGTAGGCTGCTGCCGACAGGCGGTGCGCCTGCTGGCTCACTTCCAGTTTGAAGATGTTCTCGTTCCCTCCTTTCGGTATGACGGGTACGTCGGGCCCTTAGGGTCCCGTCTGAAGCTGTGTGAGCTTCTACTTCAAATTCATTCTCAGTATCGTGGTCCGACTAAACTAGAGGGTCGTCCAGGGGACGTCTCTCTTCAGGTGCCGGTACAAACGTGGATGCCATCTCAGAAGTACTCTCCCCGTAGACGGCGCCAAAAATGTTTCGGGGTTTTCTGATGTCCTGCGGGAGAGTTACAATTCCGAGACTGGAACCAGACGCCTGTACCTGCAGAACAAACGGATGCTCCGGTTGATTGGAGATCCGCCTCCGACGGTCAAGTTAGTACTTGATTAAGGAGTAATTAATGCGGAAATTAAAGTGATTGGGTCTCTCTAGGTGAGAGTGTTTAATGTGTGTAATCTGCGTCCTCCCCCTTAATGAGGATTAAGGGAGGTATTTATAACCTCGGGAAACATGCCAATCCTAGGTTTAGGTTAACCTTGGGCTGATTGGGCTTCCCTCGGAAGTTGGGCCTAGGTGGCCGACTTCTCCATTAGGCATGGAGTATGCCACGTGTCATGACATAATAGGTCCAGGGTGGACGAATAAGAGTGTGCCACGTGGCAAGCCCTGAGAGGTCCAACTGGGGGACACTTGGCAGGACCTGATTGGCCCACGTGGCGCATTCCGATTGGTGGGAGCAAAATCCCCTAATCACCCGCCACCTGTTGTTCTTCTTGCCTTTTTCCTTGGTGCGTTCATGCGTGGGTACATCGGTAACTATCATTTCGGGATTTATGACCCCGGTATACCGATCAGTTTCTAAATGTGAAAAATGTGAGTTCAACACCCCAAATTATGGTAGCACCATGATGAACTCACCAAGTTCTAATTTCTTCAAACTTAAGCACAAATTCCCTAACTTACATTCCTAACAATTCTTACCCCTTTTACCTCAAAATTTCAATAAAATTGAACATAAAGAACATCAAAAACCGCAAAACACCATTCTATTGCTCGTTCCACTTGATGTAATCCGAATCCAAGAATTCAACCTATAAATCAAAAGTAACAACAAGTGAAAGAAAATAAAAGAAAGAAAATTTAGAAAAATTGAAATCAAAAGAAAAAGTTAGAAGTCTCCGGGTTGCCTCCCGAGAAGCGCTCGCTTAAGGTCCTTAGCTAGACCCTTCCTCGAAATCACGGAGGGTAAAGGAACACCAGCTTCTTTAAAGTGGCGGAAAGAAAAACTTCTTCTTCATTTCCTAGCAACCTCTCATTGTTTCTTGACAAAACTTCACTAGCTTTCACATCAAAAACCATATTTTCATTTCTCATTTTCAATCTTCTCTTGCTTTTTTCTTGAATTTTTTTTCTTTTCATAGACGGCTTCACACCATCTACCTCCATGGAATCCTCCTCATTCTCTCGAGGGTAGAGCTCAAACCAATGAGGAATGTCGATCTCCTCTTCGTTCATAGCCTTTGGAAGATCCTTCTTTTCTTCACTAACTTTCATGCAATAAAAACTCAATAGCACATCAAAAAAATATAATGAACATTGTTAGATGAAGAATCAATCACATACACAATATCAAAAGAACGGAGGGAATCATCAATCTTGATTTCTTTCACAAGGGATAAAGACTCATGCATTGGTTTTAGTTCAAAACTCTCTTTCTCGTTACCAACTCTCAAGGTAATTCGGCCTCCCTTAACATCAATCAAACCTCCCGAATTATCTAGGAACGGTCTCCCTAAGATAATAGGAATGTGGTCATCTTCTACTATTTCAAGCACAATGAAATCAAAGGGGATTGTTAAACCACCTATCTTTAGGAGAACATCCTCAACTCTTCCCTTGGGAAACTTGATAGACCTATCGGCCAATGGCAAAGTCATGTTGGTAGGAAGAAGTTCTCCTAGCTTTAGCTTCTTGAAGACCGAGAAGGGAATTATGCTCACACTAGCACCCAAATCACATAAGCATTCTTAAACATCTTACTCTTGATTTTGCAAGGAATGTAGAAATTATCCAGTTCTTTCATCTTCTTGGGGAGGTCATTGTGAATCAAGGCACTATAACACTCACTAAGCTCCACCAAATCAATCTCATTACAATCTCTCTTTCCACTAAAGATATCCTTAAGGAACTTGGAATACCTAGGCATTTGGGTCATGGCTTCGGTAAGAGGGGTAGAAAGCTGGACCTCCTTCAACATTTCAAGAAATCTCCCAAATTGTTCATGTAGTTTATTCCTCATAAACTTTTGGGGATATGGAAGGTCGGGTTTTCTCACTTCCTCTTGATTTCTCTCATCACTCTTCTCTTTCTCATGGCCCTCTTCTTTGCTCAAATCCCTTGACACATCTTTCTCTTTTTGCTCACTTGAAACACTCTTCTTCTTGTCCTCCTCAGAATCCCTTGAAACTCTCTCTTCAAGAACTCTTCCACTCCTTGTGGTGATGGAATAAACCCGTTTCTTGGGATCAACTCCTTGAGAAGACAATGCAGAAGGACTAGCACAATCTTTCAAAGTGTTTGGTAGTTGGGTAATTCGTGTCTCAAGCATTTTGTTATGTGTCATGATCTGATTGAATTTCTTATTGTTCACCGCCATATAGGTGTTCAAGATTTTTGTTTTATTTTCAATTATCTCCTCCAAATTGGACTTGGACGATTGAGAATAGGAATTCTCACCAACACCTTGAGACTTTGGACCAGATCCGGGTGGGGGTCCCCTTTGATTGTTTTGAAAATTTCCCCTATTTTGATTGTTCCAATTGCCTCGATTTTGATTGTTGCCAAAATTTTGGTTTTGGCCACCAAAGCCTTGAGATTGGCTTTGATTTCCATACCCTTGGCCTTGGTTTTGATTCCCATAACCTTGGTTATTATAGTTGCCTCGAAAATTTTGGTTTCCTTGATTCCAATAATTACCATTGTTATAGTTATCAAATCCACCTTGTTGGTGAGAATTTCAATTTCCAAAGTTTCTTGGTCCATCAAACCTTTGACCATTGTTATTGTTTGAGACAAAATTCACATGTTCACATTCATTATTCTCCCCATCATCATGATTTTCAAACCCATTTGAACAAGTAGAAGCATCATGGTCATAAGACCCAGAATTGTCACAAAACAAGCACTATTGGGAATATTATTAGAAGTAGAAAGAGGAGTAGAGTTAGAAGATTTACCTCTCCCTTAACTGTGGGAGGGATGACTAATAAGTGACTTTTGTGTCACTTTTAGGGTATTTTTATGCTTATTTTCCGATTTAGTCTCTAATAATTTCCCTAGTTTTACGCTTTATTTCTCTCTTTTTCTTATTTTCCTTATTTGATCTCTATTTTATGTATTTTAGTAGTTTTTAATAGTTTTAAGCTTATTTTATAAATTTATTTAATTTCTCTTATTTTCTATGTTTATATTTTAAGTTTTTTGTTCTTGTTGTATAATAAATTTCTAGCTTTTCTCTTTTTCTTATTTATTTTAGTTTAGCATTTTATTTTTTTTTGTTTTACTTTATTTTTATTTTTATTTTATATGTTAATCTACCGTCGTGATTGTTTTTGGTTGTTGGTGTATGTGTTCAGGTTGATGCTCCGTTTTCTTGTTCAAATCAAGTTTGTTGTTTCGGGATTGAGTCATGTGTCAAATTTCACAATTCAAAACCTTCCAAGCCGTCATAGTTGCTGCCACCTAAACCTTCACCACACCCTTAACTAACCTACACCACCCCAAACAACAAACACCAACATCACAACACCTCCCCTATTCCTCACACACTCTACAACAACAACAATAACAGCAACAACGCTCCCCGCAAATCCCCAAGAGCAACAACCTCTAATCACCACGAGCTGCCCCCTCAGGCCACCGCCGAAACCGCCAACAACCACCTCTAGCCACGCAAACACCACGCACACGAGCCAAACTGCTCCCAATTCCCCAACAAACAACAACAATTAACACCACCGTCAAAACCATAGCGTCGCCACACACTTGACAACAACCCCCTAATTCACCCCGTAGCTCTACAGCCACTATTTTGCCACTAATTTGAGTCCCATCCACAGTCACACACTCACCAACAACCTGTAACAGAGCAACCACTAATTAAAGCCTCTATACACAGCAGCTGCCCCCAATAAGAGCAGCCCGCAACCCGTAGCTCTAATTCAGCTCAATTTTCGATACCCTTTTAGAGCGGGTGCTCCGAATTCTGAAGCGGCCGCTCTGATCTTTCACAAGAAGCTGTACGGATTAATGAAGTTCGACGATCATGATTGCTTCGATTAATCCAACGACCGCGATTTAGTTATGCTTGATGAGGATTTTGCTGATTGATGTCGATGAAGGGTGAAGATGTGTGCGATGGAATTGATGATGCGAATCAGAGCAACCACGAGAAAAGGGAATTGGGGGCCTGATTGTTTTCGTGAGATTTGATTGTTTTTCCCCTTTTTAATTTCTTTTTCCTTTCCTTCCTTTTTATTCTTAGTTTTGTCATTTAATTAGTTTAGTTAGTTTTCTTTTTATTTGTCTTTTATTTTCCTTTTGTTATAAATACCCCTTTTGAGGTGAATACTCTCTTAACTTTGAACAACCATTTTCTTAATTAGTTTTGCGAGAGCTTCTCTATCTTAGGGTTAGATTAGATAATTTTTAGAGAGAGAAAGTAGATTATTGCTCAATTTTCTTCCAAGTATTCAACTTTGCTTAACTTTAATCTTCAATCAAGCAAGAATTCAAGTTTTCATCTTTCATTAATCCTTTCTCTAGTAATTTCTAATCCTTTCCTTTAGCTTTATTTACTTGCTTTTATAGTTGCTTATTTTTGTTAATCTTATTAGTTCATCTAGTTATTATTGATTTCATTGATTTTAATCATGTTTTGTTTTGAGTTTCTTGAGTTTGTTTCTAGTTTTGATATTATGTTTAATCTCCCTTCTCTATGCTAATCTTTTAGCTAGGGGAAGGGGGTGGAAAATATGAGTTGATATTGGATGAATGATGATGGTTTGATTGAACTTATGCCATAAATTGATGAAACACATGATTTTTAATAGCTTGAGATTATTGTTGCACTCTATTTGATGTTTTCTAGTTTAAATGCATGAAAGTGATTTGAACTAGATTAAGATCATCACTATTTTAATGATAGCATGAGAATGAGTTAATAAAGTGGAGTTTTTATGGATTGTGTTTCTTTATTCTCTTGATTTTTTTTTTTTTTTTTTTGGAAAATATGAGAAATTTTATTACCAAAAGGAAAAGTTACAAATTACAAGAGCTAAGTTATAACAAACACCAAACCCCACAAGACCTGAAAAAAAGGGCAACCAACCACCAAATAGTTCAAGCTCAATCTCCTGCAACCTTCTAGGAAGGGTTCAAGAGAAAGAGACAAGAACAATCTGAGCTCAAGCTTCCACCCACCTTCTAGGAAGGGTTCTGGAAACTAAGCCCAGGAACACAAAAACAAACACAGAGCAGGACAAACCTGCAAACAAGAAACACAACTCCTACAAACTGTAAAAAGGAAAACCTCCATCTAGACTCAGCTTCAAAAGCAACAGGACTAGACAATAGAAGGTAATACAGCAACTCAGAGAATACAACCAAGCTAAGCACCAGAAAGACAAAAAAAAAAAGCAAAGTGCTGACCAAAAAAACAGCAGTAATAGCAAAACAGAAACAGTAGCAGCAGCCACCCAAACCAAGCTGCAGCAAGCCTGAGCCAGCAACTGCAGACAGCCAGCTAGAACAACAACTGCAGAAACAGCAACAAAAATCAGCAACAGCTGACTTGCTGACCAGAACAGCAACAGATTCAGCAACAACTCAGCATTAGAGATCACAAACAGCAGAACAGAAGTCAGCAACATCAACAGAATTCAGCAACAGCAGTAGAATTCAGTAACAACAACAGAAATTAGCAACAACAACATAAATCAGCAACAACAACAAAAATTAACAACAACCTTCAGAAATTAGAATTCAAAATTCAGAAATCAGCAACAGCATTCAGCAGTCAGAAATCAGAATTCAGCTACAAAACCAACAAAATCAGCAGCAAAACAGAACAACAGTAGCAGCTCCCTGATAAAACTAGGACATCAACAAGCTTGCAACAACCAGTAAACAAAACTGCATTCCTCTGTATCAAAATAAAGTAGACTGTTTCAGTGAAGGCAACTTGGATCACTTTGTTTTTCATTCTGGAACTTCTGCAGATTTTCTTCAACCATTCAATCTCATCATCAAACTGCTGAACAGGCTTGGAAATATGTAAAATACTCAACACCTTGCTCCAAACCTGTCTAGAGTAGTCACAGTCAAAGAATAAGTGTTGAACACTTTCATTGCTATTCAAGAAAAAGAAACACCGTGGATCACAAGAGATGTGCCATTGTAGCAACCTATCATTAGTGACAAGCCTATCCCACAAAGCTAGCCACAAGATAAATTCACTTTTAGGAGTTGCTAAGTTATGACAAATGACCCTCTTCCAAGGAACCTTAGGGACTTGAGGCCTAATAGTAGCATAAAGCTTCTTGATTTTCATCTTATTGCCCTGTATGAAACCATCCCATCCCCCTTGATCATTCACAATATCTCTACAACTCAGAATCTTCTTCAAAAACTAAGAGCATTTAGTAGGGGTAGGAGTGGTCCAACAATCTTTATGCTTGAAATAATAGATATGGACCCACTTAACCCAAAGATTATCAGCCTTGTGAGAAATATCCCAAAGTAACTTAGTGACAGCTGCCTTATTCCACTCAGGTAGAGAAAGCAAGTTCCATCCATCACAGACTTTGGGAAGACAGACATAATTCCAAGCAACCAAAGATTTATTAGCAGGGGCAGAGGATCCAGTCCAAAGAAAGCATCTGAATCTAGCCTCGATCTCTTTCAGAATTTTCTTTGGTAAGATAAAGATTTGAGCCCAATATGTCTGAATACAAAACAACACACTCTTAACCAACTGGAGCCTCCCAGCATAGGACAAGTGTTTAGCCATCCACCCTTGAATTTTTGCAGTCACTTTCTCCACCAAAGGCCTGCACTGAGCAATTGTAAGCTTCTTAGAAGAGAGAGGGACCCCAAGAAATCTAAAACGAATAGAACCTTAAGAAACACCAAGAAGCTCTTTCAACTCTGTCTGAACTTCAACAGGAACTCCCACAAAGTAAACTTCACTTTTATCAAGATTAGCAGAAAGCTCCGAAGCACCAGAAAATTTCAAGAAAGCTTGGAAGAGAAGCTTAACAGAAACACTATCAGCTCTAGAAAACATCAATAGATCATCAGCAAACATCATGTGAGTTAGGTTTAACTTTTCACATCTAGGATGAAAGTTAAAATCAGGAGTTAACCTAAACTTATCAAGGAATTTGGAAAGGTATTCCATACTAATAGCAAAAAGAAAGGGAGAAATAGGATCACCTTGTCTTAAACCTTTCTTAGCTTCAAAAGGAGGGGCATGAAAACCATTGATAAGAACAGAATAAGAGACAGAAGTAAGACAGGTCTAGATCCAATCAATAAATCTCTGAGGAAAACCAAGTTCCTGCATAATAGTAATCAAGAATCCCCAGTCAACTGAAT